AACCAAAGCACCGCCTTCGCATGAAGGTATTAAAAACGTTCGCGTGGCGATGGTAGCACATGGCACTGGGGCGGCTTGAGCTCACACTAGAGTCCTAGAGGGTTAGAATGCACTCACACTCACGCCCGCGTCTCGTCCCCCTTGCCTGCTAGCTCGCCAACCTAGTGCCATGAGCTACCATCGCCTCTCTGTTTTGATTGCATCCTTCCACCTTGGTTTCACTTCTGAATTCTTCCAGTTTTGCCCGCCTTTGCTTCATTTGTCACTTGTGATTATCTTCCACTGCTTTTTTTCCATCCCTGGACCAGTTTATGGCATCCTGCATCCTTTTTTCTCCCTCTTACCATCCCATTCGCTGGCTCCAGGGAAAAAAGAGTGGAACATTCAGGAGCAACACTCCGAGAGCCAACACTTCAAGAGGGAAACCCGACACAGCCGTTCGAGCCTCTGGTTTGACGTCCAGCATCAGCACTCGTTTCACATTCATGCATTTATCCGTTATTGCTACAATTCTCCTGTTTCCCGTTGTGTACTTCATTTGCTCTCTCATTTCTTCTCCCTGCCACTTTCACCTCCCCTACCCTTCGTGCTCCATCCACGCATCCCCTCTCTACCCATCCTTTCACCGAGCAACAACAAGGCGGCATTCGCATGTTGTGTGGTGAGATCCCTTGTGTCGCCTACCCAACCTTCTTTCTTTCTCCTTTGAACATCATTGCTGCTCCTCCCGTATCTTGTTCGCCTCCTTCCCTGCCTTTCATTACGTCCCTGGCCAGCGTTGTTTATCCTTTGAACGTCATCGCAAATCCTCTCAATTCTTCCTTATCTCATCTCATCCTCCCTTGCTTTCATTATACAGTCGGGCACAGCACGGGAGTGGCAGCAGCAGCAATATCGGCAGGGGACAGCACGCAATGGCGAATCAACTATCCCTCTTCCCGTAGTACGTTCCACGACCTCTCACCGCTCCCATCTCCTCAACGCACTATGCTCCTTCTGCTGTCGCTTTTTTTGCCATGCTCCTTGTCACATGGCTGTTCCTCCTCTCATGTCCTCCCCTTCCCCTCAAGTCCCCTGCGTTTCGCCTCACAATCAGAAAGCGGTAGTGGCAGCATGGGCGGACAGGCGAAGCAAATTCGATCAAGTTGTCTTTCTTGCTTAACTTACTCGCTTAACCCTCTTGTCCTCTACCCCTGATTTCCAATGTCCGCCTCCCTACTACATCTTGTCGCCTTTGCTCCTTTGTATTGCCTTGGCTCTTTTATTTTCTTATGCCTTATACTTCGCACTTTTTCTCCTCCTCTTTCTTCTCGTGTCTTTTCCCATCATGTTTCCTCCTTCAGGTTTGATCAGCAGCAGTGGGCGGAGCAACAGCTTTGCAGTAGCATTGGAGCACTAGGGCGCACAAGAATAGCACGTGCTTTCTGTCTTTTTCTTGTGGTGGGTTTCCGCATCCACTCCCCTCCTCTTCTGCACCACTCTTGCATTGTGCATCAATACAGCTTCCAACCCCCCTCCTCCTGTCCTTGTCTCTCAGTCCGTTGCCTTCCATGCCCGTTTATCTCTGCCTGGCAATGCAATATTACTATGGCTGATTCTTCAACAAGAATCAGACCATAAGCTTCAACCTTGGCTATCCACATGCTCAGCTATTTTTCTTGTCCGTGAATCTTCTTTTCGTCTCTCATGTGCCTTTCTCTTTCTCGCTGCTTCGTTTGGGTTGTGTTGCTGACATGACAGGATTGGACTGGTGAGGCAGGGGTGGAATGTATGGCAGTGGTACCAACTGGAGGGGCTAGCTGGTGACGAGCTGATCGTTGTCTGTGAAGGTGAGCAAAAAGCCATCGAACTCAGACTGAACCGCAGAAACAGCATCTCATATCATATCATCTCGTGTTTGGTTAATTGTGTAGGTATCCAATGCAATTTTTAAAGATCATGTGCCCGAATCGGACACCACCTTTCATTTTATGTCATACCTCATTCTGTCATGTAGAGAAGATTGAATTTTGTCTGCATTGCCATTTCCTCTCGCTGCTTACAGGACAGCCGAAGCAGCTCCGTTTGGAAGTCAAGGCGGAAGTTGAAGACCTATGCTAAGGCTGAATCAGATGGGATAGGATAGGTTATTTAGACTAGTAACACTCTCAGGTGTGGTATCCCCCCCTCTTCCCCCGTGTAGCACCCCCCCCCACACCCCTCTTACCCTGTCCCTTCCCCAACCCCTCCCCCCTCCTCCCCATATCGCCCGTCCGCATGCCTTCCCCTGCAACCCACCTCCTTGTGCGACCCGCCCACCTCAACAATCCCCTGCGTAGGACAGGCACAGGGCTAACCACAGGGCTAACCACAGGGCTAACCACAGGGCTAACCACAGGGCTAACCACAGGGCTAACCACAGGGCTAAGTATAATCACACGGCTAACTATAGGACTAAAGGACTAACCAGGGCTAACCACAGGACTACCTACAGTTAACTATAACCACACGGCTAACTATAGGACTAAAGGGCTAACCAGGGCTAACCACAGGGCTAATCACAGGTTATCAAAAGGCTAACCACAGGGCTAATCGCAGGTTGATCAATAGGCTAACCACAGGGCTAATTGCAGATCGACAATAGTCTTACCGTACCACAGGGCGTGCCAACTTCAGGGCTAATCACAATGCTAACCACCACCAGGCTAACCACAGGGCTTGAGGCTCGTGGAATGCTAATCACAGGGCTTGTTGTGGGTCAAATCAATTCAACAAGACACATGCATCAGAGCATTAAACACAGAGCTTTGGCATTAGAGCACACTAATTACAGGACTTGTGCCGGACATAGAACTCATGGAGCTTCTGCTTTGGAGCACACAAATTTCAGTGCCTGTGTGTTGAAAGACACCAGTACGGTACATGCTAGTGCATCAAATCATGTTAGCATCAGTAGTACATGCTCTGCAACAGCTGTTGCAGTTTCTTGAACATTAGGAATTTCTGGATTCAAGCATGTGCATTGCGCCAGGCCACTTTCTGATTGCCTCAGGTACCTTGCAGAGCTAAGCAAATCATGCCAGCAGGCCACTTTACATGACTCGTAACATGATACAATGCTTGCTAGAATTGACTCAGCAACCTGTACAGGGTAGTTTGCAAGAGGAACATGTGCTGGTGTACCGGTGATGGTTATAGGACCGTATCACATTGATGTTATAAATTTTGAAACATATTTTCAACAAGCTACACAACATGGTAACATGGGCACGTCCATTTCTGGTCAATAAGTACTGTAACAAGTGCTGCTAGTATGCGCACATGCAGGCTGCTTATAAGGTAGTACAGGGAAGGGAAGCCAAAGGATCCTTGAGGTCTGTCCCTTACCCTAATCGCTTCACACTCACTCTAACCCCTTCACACTCACTCTCACCCCTTCTCATTCTCGGATCCCTTCTCTCTGCCACACTTCCCTTCTCACTCCTCCCTCCTGCTCTCCTCTCCCCTTCCAACCCTCCCCGTCCCTCCGGCTCTCCATCCATAACCCTCTTTCTCACTCCTATCCCCCTCTCACCATCCCCTCCCACCCCTACTCCGCTACTTTGGCCCGAGCCAAGGCTCCGACGCTGGTCATCCGAACCTGCTCGAGCCGAACCTCGCTCCGAACCTCCGCCCGAGGCTGCACCTGCGCTGCGGCCACCAGAAGCACCTGCATTCCTAGCAATTCTCGGATCATTGCTCTTGATGTTCCCACGCACAAGGTTACCACCAGGATTCATGGTTCGGTTTCGCTGCCCTTCTCCCACACCCGCCTTTCCTCTGCTCCCCCCAGTTGACCCTTCTAGCTCTCCTCCTCCTGTTCCAGTTCCCTCCCTCCCTCTTGACACCTGTGTCCCTACTTGACCCCCACTCCGCTTCCCTCCTTTATCCTTCTCCTTCTCCTCCTCACTCTCCTCATCTTCCTCATCATCCTCATCAGAATCCTCATCTGAATCATCATCATCGTCATCATCCTCATCATCATCAGATTCCTCCTCTTCCTCCTCTTCTTTCTTCTGGCCCGCTCGTTTGTTCCCTGCCTGGCGTGTACCTGCATTGCCCCCATTCCCCCCAGGCCCCCCACTCCCCCCTCCACCACCACCACCACCACCCATATGCATGCCCATGCCATACCCATTTGAACCCATACCAACAGCTCCACCACCCATATTCATGCCCATACCCATACCCCCCATGCCCCCCATTCCACCCATACCACCCATACCTCCCATATCCCCCATCCCCATTCCTCCCATTCCTCCCATGCCCATATGCATGCCGATTCCCCCCATCCCACCCATTCCTCCCCCCATCCCTCCTCCCATATTTCCGCCCATCCCTCCCCCCATCCCTCCGCCCATCCCTCCCCCCATGCCCCCCCTTCCCTGCGCCTGAGCTTGCTGCTCCATTAGTCTCTTCTTCTCTGCTTCCCGTGCCGTTGCCTGGGGGGGAAGAGAAGTGCGGGAGAGAGGGGAGGGTGAAAATTGATATGGAGGGGTGAGAGGGGGGATGAGCGGCAGAGGACGGCTGAGAGCAGGAGTGAAAGAAGGGGCAAGAGAAAGGATACAGAAAAAGTGCGCAGCAACATAACACCAGGGGAGCGTCTGGCTTGCGGCTCGCCTGCAGAGGGCTGTACCTCCTGGCAATTCCCTGGGGTGCAAACCAGCACCTAAATCAGCCTGGAAAAATTCTGTGCATAGCGCTCACCAGAAGAGGAGCGTCTGGCTCGCGGTAGAGTAAAGCTATGAGCTGCTCGCCGGTGACGGCTCCACCTCCTGGCAATCGCACTCCACCTCCTCGCAATCAAAGAGGGTAAGCAGTGGTTACGTACCAGCAGGGGAGCATCTGGTTCGCGGTAGAGCAGCAAGTGTCCCCTTCCATGAGCAGCGCAGTGAGCTGCTCGCCGGCTGACGGCTCCACCTCCTGACAATCGCACTCTACCTACTCGCAATCTTGAGCCACCTTGAACAGGGGGCACATACCAGCAGTGGCGCGTCTGGCTCGCGGTAGAGCAAGGCAGTGAGCTGCTTGCCTGCTGACGGCTCCACCTCCTGACAGTCCCGGCTGATCTTGACGGGCTGGTTGTCGTTGTACTGGTTGCGCAGGTGGCGCGTCTTGTTGAATGATAGCTCGCACAGCTGGGAGGGAGAGGGAGCTCAAGATTCAGTTGTCTTAACACACAAAAACAAAAATATAAGACCACTTTAAGGCGCCTCAAAAAGGAAGAATGTCCTTCTGGTTAACATTCCACAGCCTCATGTCAACACAAAAAATCACCTCTTTCTCTCTGCTCGCTCGCCCCTCTGTCCTCCCTTCTCCCCTCCCCTCTCCCCTTCACTCTCCCCCCTCCCCTCTCCTCTCCCCCTCACCTTGAGCCATCTGATGCGAAAGTTTTGCCTGTAGCTGCCCATCCGCTGAGCATACTTCCACGGCCCTCCCCTCTTTCCCTCTCCCATTCACCCTCTCCACCTCCCCCTTCCGCCATTCCACCCTCTCACCTTGAGCCATCGAATACGGAAGTTTTGCCCGTAACTGCCCATCCGCTGAGCATACTTCCACGGCCCTCCACCCACCACCGCTCCTATGCGCGACATCATGAGCGCACAGCCCTGGCAAGGTGGAAAGAGGGAGATGGGAAACAGTGAGTAAGGAAAGTAAGGAGGGATTAGACAGCTACTTCCACGGCCCTCCCCCCACCACGGCTCCTATGCGGGACATCATCAGTGCACAGCCCTGGCAAGGTGGAAAGAGGAGAGGAAGGGAGAAGGTGGGAAACAGTGAAATAAGGAGAGAACCACTTTTTAAAATCATTTAGGTTCCGATGCCTTCCACAACGTCAACATTCGTGTGACTTTTGAGAACTCTCAAAAGTCACAGGAAATAGTGAAATAAGGAGAGAGCCACTATTAAAAATCAATTAGTTTCTGATGCCTTCCACAACGTCAACACTCCCCAAAACCACCTTGTATACCTAATTTCCGCTCACCTGGAAGTGCCTGGTCTCATTAACGGAAAAGATCAAAATAACACTGTCACACGACTCGTACGCCTCGTTCAGCTTCCCCTCGTTGTTGCGGTGAGTCGCCCACATGCCACGCTGCGCTGACAATTATGCTTAATTGCACCTCACTGCACCGCACTGCAACCCCCCTGCACCCCAATTGTTCCCCACCTGCAGCAGCCAACGCATGCTGTCCCCTCACCTGGAAGTGTCGGGTCTCATTGACTGAGAATATTAAAATAACGCTGTCACACGACTCGTACGCCTCGTTCAGCTTCCCCTCGTTGTTGCGGTGAGTCGCCCACATGCCCCGCTGCGCCGACAGCTCTAGGTTTTCGAGATTGTTGCTCTTCACAATGAAGTACCTGCACGGGAAGAAAGGGGAGACGGGTGTGCTTTGGGCAAGAGGCAACGGTGTTAGAAGGTGGAACTGGAAATTACCCCCCAAAAAAAGAAGCAAAAAAAAAAAAAAAAAAAAAAAAACAACAACAACAACAACAACAACAACAACAACAACAACAACAACAACAACAACAACAACAACAACAACAACAACAACAACAACAACAACAACAACAACAACAACAACAACAACAACAACAACAACAACAACAGCAAGAGCAAGAGCAAGAGCAAGAGCAAGAGCAAGAGCAAGAGCAAGAGCAAGAGCAAGAGCAAGAGCAAGAGCAAGAGCAAGAGCAAGAGCAAGAGCAAGAGCAAGAGCAAGAGCAAGAGCAAGAGCAAGAGCAAGAGCAAGAGCAAGAGCAAGAGCAAGAGCAAGAGCAAGAGCAAGAGCAAGAGCAAGAGCAAGAGCAAGAGCAAGAGCAAGAGCAAGAGCAAGAGCAAGAGCAAGACCAACAAGAACAAGAACAAACAACAACAACAACAACAACAACAACAACAACAACAACAACAACAACAACAACAACAACAACAACAACAACAAAAACAACAACAACAACAACAACAACAACAACAACAACAACAACAACAACAACAACAACAACAACCACAACAACAACAACAACAACAACAACAACAACAACAACAACAACAACAACAACAACAACAACAACAACAACAACAACAACAACAACAACAACAACAACAACAACAACAACAACAACCACAACAACAACAACAACAACAACAACAACAACAACAACAACAACAACAACAACAACAACAACAACAACAACAACAAAAACAACAACAACAACAACAACAACAACAACAACAACCACAACAACAACAACAACAACAACAACAACAACAACAACAACAACAACAACAACAACAACAACAACAACAACAACAACAACAACAACAACAACAACAACAACAACAACAACAACAACAACAACAACAACAACAACAACAACAACAACAACAACAACAACAACAACAACAACAACAACCACAACAACAACAACAACAACAACAACAACAACCACAACAACAACAACAACAACAACAACAACAACAACAACAACAACAACAACAACCACAACAACAACAACAACAACAACAACAACAACAACAACAACAACAACAACAACAACAACAACAACAACAACAACAACAACAACAACAACAACAACAACAACAACAACAACAACAACAACAACAACAACAACAACAACAACAACAACAACAACAACAACAACAACAACAACAACAACAACAACAACAACAACAACAACAACAACCACAACAACAACAACAACAACAACAACAACAACAACAACAACAACAACAACAACAACAACAACAACAACAACAACAACAAAATCAAGAACAAAACAAAACAAAACAAAACCGACAAGTTTCCGAATTGTGGTATAATTTAAAAGGCAATACCTTGGTGGTGTGCCCTTGGCGAGCTCTACACGCACCTGGTTGTGCCGGGTGGTGGCGGGATGGCGAGACTCATGGAGGAGAGGGTGCCACAACGGCCATGCCTGCTGCCGACGCATCCCCCATCATCATCCCCCCTTCCCCATGCATCCCTCCTGCTCCTCCGCCCATCCCCCCTCCCCCCATCCCTCCCCCCATCCCTCCCCCCATCCCTCCACCCATCCCTCCACCCATCCCTCCCCCTCCTCCCATGCCTCCTCCTGCTTGACCCCCCATCCCTTGCTGTTGCTGCATATGCCCCTGATTTTGAGCGTTTGCCTGATTTGGCATGTTTGCCTGATTTAGAATGTGTGCTGGCACACCTCCTCCTCCACCATCACTACCACCACCCCCACCAGTAGCATCAGGAGCACCACCCTTACTGCCCATCCCAACCCCTGTCCCTGCCCCGTCCCTTCCATTCCCCATCCCATTTGCAACCCCTCCTACCCCTCCTCCTTCTCCCCCTCCCCCTCCCCCTCCCCCTCCCCCTCCCCCTCCCCCTCCCCCTCCCCCTCCCCCTCCCCCTCCCCTTCCCCCTCCCCCTCCACCTGTGGGTGCGCCCTCTGTTCCCCCTTCGCCCGTGGCCCTACTCACCTCTTGCATCCCCCCTCCCCCTTGCTGCTGCTGTCCCCCCTGCTGCGCCTGCCCCCCCTGCCCCCCTTGCTGCCCCTGCTGCTGCCCTGTTTGTTGCGCTTGCAGATTCACAGCTGCCCCCCCTGCCCCTCCGCCTGCCCCCACTCCCCCTCCGCCTGCGCCCATCCCCCCAGCAGGCCCTGCTCCCCCACCTGCTTGCCCCATGGGCACCCCTTGCCCCATCTCCCCTCCTCCCCCCATTTCCCCTCCCCCGCCTCCGCCCATACCCCCACCTGCTCCTCCCCCAGGCCCCATATTCCCCCCTGGGCCCATTCCCCCTTGCCCCATGCCTCCCCCCATGCCTCCCCCCATGCCTCCCCCTACCCCCATCCCCCCTCCGCCATGTGCGCCCATCCCCCCGCCCCCCTGCTGCTCCATCCCCCCAGGCCCAGAAAAGAACCGCACAGGCTTGTTGCTTCCCCCCATCGGTCCCCCATTCCCCATACCCCCTCCCCCCATGCCTCCCCCCATACCTCCCCCCATGCCTCCCCCCATGGGGCCCCCCATGCCTCCCCCTCCGCCTCCCATCCCCCCCGCGAAGTGGAAGGGAGGTCGCTGCTGCAGCTGCAGCTGAAACTTTTCCGCCAGGGCCTCCACAGGAGGGGGCGGACCGGGCAGCTTTAAATGTCGGTAGCGGCAATCCGGGCCGTTCGGGCAGAATCCAAGCTTGTACCTGGGAAGGGGAAGGGGAAGCGGAGGGGGGAGCGCGGGAGGGGGTGGACTATGGGTAACAGGGATGAATGGTAAAAGATATTGGTAACAGCACAGAACATGGGTTTACAATTTCGATCGAATGCGCAGAGAGCAAGGGCAATGAAGAGCGCATGCAAGATTAGGCTATGAGCAGGGCAGAACAGGCAGAGCCTGTAAGGGGAAGCCAACTTGCTTGTAATGGAAAGCGCAAGCAGCATCAGGATATGCACGAGAATACAGTGAGGGAATGCAGGAATGATAACGAGTCAATGCGCACACTCATGTGCACTGAATGGCCATGTGTGCGCCAAAGGCACTAGCAGAAGAGCCTGAAAAGAAATCTGGCTGAAACGGACAGGAGGTGCAAAAGAAATGCTTTCATTATTATCAGGAAGGAATATTGACAACAAATAATAAATGCATACGTTACAAAGAATCAATTGCAACAATACCAACTCCTGCCTCGTCTGGTCAGAAACAGAGAGCACACACGTAGGCTTAAAGCCCACAGTTACCCTAAGCTCACGTATATACAGAGATATGAAAAGGCAAGACAACCGTCACAACCCTTCGAAACCATCACTGCTGAGTCTACTAAAGCATTATCACAACTAACAATAAAGAGGCGCAATTAATCGTCATTTAATAAGCCGTAACGTACATGTTGCACTCCTTGACGTCTTCGTTGGTGTGCTTGTACACGCAGTCAACCTCCCTGCACTCGCCCCACCGCGCAAAGTACCGGCAGACCGGCATGCGGCTCTTGTCGTACTGATGCAGAAACCCGCAGTCGTTGCCCTTCATGCACAGCCCGCGCAGCCAATGCCGGCAAACGGTCTGCCGGTAGTTCCGCCGGAAACCGGCAGGCGGCGGGCCTCCCCCGTGCCCCCCTCCCATGTCATGCGCCTGCTGCTGATGCGGCTGCTGCAGCTGCTGCTGCTGCTGTTGCTGCTGATGCTGCTGACTTTGCGGAAATTGGTGTTGCTGCTGCTGCTGCTGCTGCTGGTATGGGGGTTGCGCATGCTGCGACGAACCCCCGCCGAACCCGTCGGTCCTCGCGCCAAAATTCCCGCCGCCCGCGCCGCCGGGTGCGCCGGGGCCGGCGCTCGGCTCCGCGGATGCCGCCGCGCCGGGCGCGGAAGCGGGGACGGCGGTGCTGAAGGCGGGCGCGGACGGCGGAAGCGGGCCGGGGCCGAGCGTCTGCTCGAAGTCGAAATCCTCGAGAGCATCGTAATCGTCCATTGTGGCGCGTGGCGGGAATTGACGGTGATTAAGGGGCCGAGCGGATTGAGTCCAATGATCAACGAACACGATATTCTGAAAATTCGGCGACGGGATCAATGGGATCGGTGAGTTCACGACGCGAATCAAGTGGTGAAGCGAGGCCCTGAAACCTAACGATGCTAAACGCCTCAATCCGACTCAAGCAACGTCAGAAGGGGAACAGCGGTACGTCGTTCGCTCGCGCGTTTAACGGTACGGGATGCGGGCAACAGATTGCACCGCAACAACGCTGACGATGCAATCCCAAGCGGTCAACAAACCCTAAAATCCGATCACTCTCGCCCGCCACCTGCGATGACTGTCCGTTCCGTAAGATGCTTCCGCAAGCACGTCACTCGTCGCCACACTGCGCTCAAGTCAAGACACAAAATCCGGTCGCACAGCCTGCTTTCTAATCGTCGGAACCGCCGCTACGGCCTACAGATTTTTTTACCCGGAGCGCAGCAGGGACCGCCATACGCCATAGTCGGAAGTGCGCAACGAATCTCAAGATGTGCTTTTGAAAATGGCTGTCGGTGAAGCGAAGTTTTCCTAGAACCAGGAAGCATGCTGTAAAGCGGTTCGAAGTACAGCTGAAGCTTCGAATACTTGTTGTGCACAGCGGCATTTGACATGTATTACATTCTTATGCAAATTTCAACCAATTGTAGCATAGCCTAGGATGTGAGCGTATGCTATATATCCAGATCATCATCGGGGTCCTCATCCGAATCTGGGTACTCATCATCCGAATCACGCTCATAATGAATCAAACCCCCACCCCCGCCTTCGCTCCATTCGCCCCCAGGGGTGCCCACTGCAAGCTCCGCCATACGAGCCGACACACCACCAACTGAACTCTCTCCAACAGTCTTTGCTGTTCCCTTGAGGTGGCTTGGCGCAAGGCTCCTCCTCCCGTCGTAAATCTTGATTGGACCAGTTTCGCCTGGAAATGGGAGTGAAAACGACACCAACACTAATCAGATCAGGCTAACAATGATAAGATCGGATGCAAGAGTGAAAATGAAGAAAACAAGGAGGTGAGAAGACAAGAGGGGACTGTAAACGATATGAGCACATGCCGCAGGAAAGGAGGGTTGGCCGGGGTTGGGAGGTGTTGAGAGGGGTTCAAACCAACCTCGGTGCTCGTATGGAAGTACCACTTTCTCTCTTGCTGCCCGTTCCTCCTCTGAAAGCTCAAGGCGGAAGGTGACCTGAGCGTTTAACAGTGCAGTAGACAAAATGAAGAGGGAAGGAGAGAACAACAATTTTGAGCACCACAACTCTCTCTCTTGCTGCCCGTTCCTCCTCTGAAAGCTCCAAGCGGAAGGAGACCTGAGCGGTTGACAGTGCAGTAGACACAGAGGGAAAGAGAAAACAACGATCATGACCACCAGCACTGGAATCAGGGTGGGGGCAGTGTGACACACATTGGGAGACAAACCTGAGAAAAGTTTGCAGGGGAGAATGAAAAGGAGAAAGGGGCCATGGTGGGAGGCGGAGGGAGAGGGACAAGAGGAGCGGGAGAGAGAAGAAGAGAAAAGTGGCAATGGGTAATCCAGTCACCATGCAAACCACCCGCAGCATGCAAACCATTGGCCTGATTTCCTCCTCTCTCACCTCAGGTGCCCGATCTCCCTTGGCCCTGATTGGCTCCACATCTGCAACCTCCCCTCTCCCTCTCGCCCCTGCATGTGGCCCTACAACTGTGTCTACGCCAGGCTGTTCCTGTGGAAGAGGTACGCTTGCAGGAGGTACTTTGGAGCCGTCTCTTCTGCTGTCGGTAGCGAGGGAGGATTGCGGCGCGGCCACAGGTGATTCAGTGGGCGGGGAGGGCTGCTGTGGTGTTCGCACAGAGCCTCTGGTCTGTGCGCTGATGTGCACTGCCCCTTGCCGGTCAAAATGAAACTCCTCAAGCTGCAGTGGAGGTGAACAGAGAAAAGGGAAGAGGTGAGATGTGCAGCGACTGCGGGAAGCTACTAAAGTGGACTGACGGACCGACGGACAGAGTGACGCGCTTGTAAGACGTCACTCGACTGGCAGGGGCAAACCAGCCAGCCAGACAGCCAGACAGCAGACAATGGCAAAGAGAGAGAGAGAGAGAGAGAGAGAGAGAGAGAGAGAGAGAGAGAGAGAGAGAGAGAGAGAGAGAGAGAGAGAGAGAGAAAGAGACCTACCGCAGTTCGGAACTTCCCTGAAGCCCTCTTCTGCTGCAACACCAGTATGCCTCCCGGCAACACATGCCGATCCCCCATGAAGTCCCCATCCATGCCCATGCTGCCACCACCCTCGCTCCTGCCGCTGCCTCCCCCACCAATATTACCAGAGGCCGCTCTGATGCTGCTACTGCTAGTCGTGGCAGGGACAACAGGTGAGTTTCCCAAGGGGTTATGGGAAGAGGGTGAGGGATGAGGGAGTGATGGAGAGGAGAGGAGGAGGGAGAGAGGGAGGAGGGAGTGGCCGGGATGGGGCTCTAGAGAGAGGAGTGCGTGCGCCATGTGGCGCAAGGAGGAGGTGACAGCTGGCGGGGTGACGTCAGCATGGGATAGGAGAAGGAGTCCCGAAACTGAGGCTGGAGGGAAGAAAGGGAAGGGAGAAGGGGAGAATAGATACCAGAGGGAGTGAGGAAGGACAAATTGTCGAAACAATGTATAACTGTGATGAAGATACAGACCTCATACAAAGTGACGTGATGACAGCTCTCTCTGCACGCAACATCCTTGAGCATACCTCCCTGATGAACCGTCCCCTTATCACCCCTCCTTACCATGCCACTGCAGTCGTGTGATCATGGCGAGGAGGGCTGCTGGCGTGTTGTGACGCAGGAAGGGGTCCAGCTGGTGGCATGGTATGGAGGGAGGATAGCCGTATCGCATGGTATGGTACGTCAAATGGGGGAGAAGAAATGCAGGGAGATGGGGAATACAATGAGAAGTGCGACGTAGAATGATGGTGTTATGGGGAAATAAAATGCAGGGAGGGAGCGAAGAGAAAGGCGTGAGGCAAGACAGGACAGACACCTGTTACAGGCAAACGAATTGCATGGATGAACGTACCTACCGAGTCTAGCACCACAATGGACGGAGCGCTGGCCTGAGCGCCTGTGTGCGCGTCCGTGGCTTTGGGCTTCGTCGCACAACTGGCGTGTAAGCAGATGAGCATATGGGGGGCGAGGTCATGGGTATGAGGATATGGGGGTCGATGAAAGGAATTGTAACCGCAAAGCGAAAGAGTAGGGGGCGGAAGGAAACGGAGCGGTCAACAGTAGGGCGAGGCGAGCAATGGTTGGTGTACTGATAACATTGGGTCGTGCAAGGGACACACGGAAACTCACAGAATTCGCTGCTCAAGCGACTGCAGGTCCCACACGTTGCAGCAGCTGCTGAGAATGGGATCTGCTGTGCCGCTGCCTTCACTCCTATCACCTTCATTGTGGCCGCTGGGATCGACTGGCTGACCGCAGGGCGGCTGAAACGGCTGTCCCCATCCCATGGGGTCAGAACAGCAGTCCACTAGCGCGCAGTGACACGCGCACAGCCCCCCTGCAGCGCCATGCGCGGTGGTCGTGGCGGTTGTGGCGGCACGTGGGGAGGCTAAGACCAGCACTGCTCGGCTGGGAGGGGTTGAGCCCAGGGAGGGGAGGGAGTGGTCGCGGGAGAGAGGATCGAGGAGATGGAGGGAATGTAGGGAATGTAGGGACACAGGATACGCACACAAACATCACACGCACAATTCACACATACACATGCACGCTCACTCACCTTGCCTGCGCGCGTTTGCAGTGGATCGCTCGAACCAGGGAGTCGGTCATGTGGCGCAAGATCTGCCAGCCACCCAGAACGTGACACGTGTCGCTTAGCACTACCGTCGGTGCTTCCATGCCGTCGATCCGTCCATCCCGCAACAGACGCACCGCTGCGGCCGCCATGCGCTCGTAATCGGCAATATAACTTCGCGATTATTCTAACAAGCTTATATAAATGCTCCGCTCTTTGGGACCACCGATCCCGACCTACAGGAATTCGAGGTTCTCGCAGCAATCCTAAGCTTGAAAGCTAGTATTGTGCATCCACCAGCCGTTGCTGGAGCCCTCCTCCGTTTTGTGCCTGATCCTCGATTCTTCTAGACAGAGCGATCCCCTGCCCACGAGGTTAAAGGTTAAAGGAGGGGGGGAAACCCCTCTGGGTGTTAACCACACCTGGCTGTCGGTCGTAACCCGCCTCCCCATTTGTTTACACTCCTCGCTGGGTCAACGAGGTTGTTCTATCCACTCCCAGATGAGCACCTGTGTAACCCCCTTCTGGGGGGCTGGCAGAACACGCCGCAGGGGGGATTTGATCCCGGGACCTCATCTTTCGGAAGTGAACCAGCTAACTAGCTGGGCCACTTCAGGATAATCCCCTGCCCACGAGGAGCACTGGCGCAAGAGTTTCCTCCTCGCAAAATGAACACCCTCGCCGTGAAACGAGCGGAAAATCTTATTGGAAGTGCTGCAGCAGCATCTTGAAACCAGGATTGACACGAGGAGGCTACGTTACTTCGGGGAGAGTCCCAATTCCTGAATGTCTCGCTGTCCCGAGGTCATTTCTGCTCTTGACACCGAACGGGTGTTGAATCCTGCTCAAATCCGTAGGGTCGTTTCACGCTTCGCGACATCCCGCGAGATGCTGTAACACCGAATCGCAGATGGACCTGGGTTTCCTTCCCTGCCTGACCCCACAAAAATGTTCGCGAGAATGTGCGACGAATTTGCAAAACGACCTCTTAGCAATTTTTTGTGTCAGGACCAGAATCTGAGCCAATCATGTTCAACCCTAGCCTCAAGCTCAGCTGTTACACGGTCCCAAACCTGCCGAAGTTTGGTAAAGCGTGAGCCATGCATGCAACCCACGGCATCACTCGGACCACCTCAGCCACACATACAGCCAAACAGTCACATGCAAACCCAAGCACCAACCACCTTCTCGTCTCCTAGTCGCTCGCAACAGAATGTAACTCGCATACTGTTTCGCTCCTTGCCACACCCCAGTCAACTTCTTCGCCTGCACTAATCGACAAGCTTTCGCCAATAGGGTTTTCCTAGCTGCGAATATTCTCCACCTTGGGATCATCATCACCAGGTGACCAGCGAGAGACCACCATGAATCGCCTTGTCCTTGTCCAACCCCATCTTCCTTTCCCTCTTCCTCTTCCCTCTCTCCTTGCCCTTCCATTCCACTTGACGCATCCCTCTCGTACGCCACCATCTCCCCTGTTCAGCACATCCATTCTATTCCTAGCCTGGTAGACCTAGGAGGACTACTGTGCTAGGGTCCTGGTAGTTCACGGTTTCAAATTTAGCTGTGTCGCTCTATCGTGCTTGACTTTTTTGTGCAGTTAGCACATCCAGTCCATGGATGACCTAAAGTTTAGCTGAACGTTGTAGCTACCAGCGGGAACGAGCAGGACGACCTAACCCTAGTTCAGGGCCCTTCTCTGTGGGCCCTGGACGTAGAAATAGTTTAGGACTTGCGCTTAGTAACCAGAAAGTGGACAGGTGATAGGGGTTGTTTCATGCGAGCGTAGCTTAGGTTTGAACGACCCTTACAAGCTTCGGGGCATGGAGCCCAGAATTGCGAACAAGTATAGGTTAGGGAGAAAAATCGGAAGCGGATCTTTCGGCGAGATCTACCTCGGTGAGCTTCTGTTCAGCCGTGCCTATTTCCTAACCACCGTCACCCGTTTCCTCGACACCAGCACGTCTCGTTCCATACCTCGTGACGTTCGCCGTCCCAAATAATTTCTCCCTCCTCTGCCGTTACCTCTCTCCTATTTACGTCGTTAACAGGAACGAACGTTCAGACAAATGAAGAAGTCGGCATAAAGCTGGTAACCACTCAGTTTTTCATAGTTTACGACCCCGCCTTCGATTCTTTTTTTTTCTTCGCTATGTCGCTGACGTCCGGCTTCCGTGGATATTTTTCATGTAGGAATCGACCAAGACGAAGCATCCTCAGCTACTCTACGAGTCGAAGCTGTACAGGATTCTTCAAGGAGGAAGTGCGTATTACAAACCTATATTTTCCGACCTCGCATACATATTCTTACCATACCGGCAGAGCTACGCGGATTCTACGATTTGCTTTCGATACCGGCGCCTGTATTTCATTGCTGACGTTTTGACAGCACTTTTCGTGCCTCGGTCTCTCCTTTTTCCCGCTCGCTCGATGCTGTTGTGACAGCCGGCATCCCGAACATCCGGTGGTTCGGCGTGGAGGGGGACTACAATGTGATGGTCATCGACCTGCTCGGGCCCAGCCTCGAGGACCTCTTCAACTTCTGCGCCAGGAAGTTCTCGCTCAAGACCGTGCTCATGCTCGCGGACCAGCTGGTGGGTATTATTCTGAGTCAGCGCGAGCGTCTTTTGGGACCGTTCTCATTCTCGCGGATCGGTTAGTTCTGTGCCTTAATCTACGGACGGTTTTTCGATACTTACGGAGTGACAGGAGCAGTTTCGAAGGTTTTCTGGCGTATGCGGGTTGAAGTTCCTCGGCTGGCGGTATTTGGCAAAGTGACTTGCGACGGGTACTTGGGATAGAGGCCAGACATATCGAAACTGATTGGTAGTTCCACTGACCGCTCGTTTGGGAACGGATTGATAGTTGAAATGGACCTGTGTTTTCGGACAGGCGGGTCGGCGTAGTTTCCCAGAGTGAGGCGGCGGTGTGAAACATGCCTGGTGGTACGGTGAAGCCCAGGAATTTGAGAAGGAACGGAGTACGTCGAGTATTGCCATCGTTTGTCGCGGGAGGTTGTTCGTCATCAAACGTTTCAGGTCATGAACTTAGGAAGCTTGACACACACTCGATGGTTCGTGATGCTCAAAGCGGGCAGAGTAGAGACGAGGGCGTGGGATAGGTTGGGATGAGATGATTGTTACTGCGGAAGTGACTGTCGTTCATCCGTTTTTCTGGATCGATAATTCCAATCTCCCTGGTCCACTATTTCCCAGATCAACCGAGTGGAGTACGTGCACTCGAAGAGCTTCCTGCATCGCGACATCAAGCCGGACAATTTCCTGATGGGGCTGGGCAGGCGCGCGAACCAGGTGTACATCATCGACTTCGGGCTCGCCAAGAAGTACCGCGACCCTACAACTCATCAGCACATCCCCTACAGGTGCGTATCTGAGTCGGCTGAGAGGGTTCCTCATGGGGCTGGGCGGGGCTGGGCGGGGTTGGGCAGGCACGCCAACCAGGTGTACATCATCGACTTCGGACTCGCTAAGAAGTACCGCGAGCGACCCCACCGCGCACCAGCACATCCCTTACAGGTGCGTAGCTTGAGGCGCCTCAGAAGGTTCAACCCACCACGCACCAGCGCATCCCCTACAGGTGCGTGCGTCGTTCGAGTCGCACCCATTTCCTACAGGTGCGTCCGTGAGTCTAGTATGCGTCGTTACGTCCTTGCTGCATCCTTTCTGCAAGAGATTCGGTGCGTCCTGTCTGCCTCCACTCTGTCTCACGCTCGCGCCCCAATCCCCCCACTCTCTCCCGCCTTTTTTCCAATCCGTCCCCCCTTGCTATCCCTTCGCCAAATCTTCGTCCCCCCCACCCATCGCATCCCACCCCGCACCTCCCCCCTTCCTGGTGCCCTGCCTCTGCATCTATCCCTTTATCCACACTAACCCGTGCTCCTCTCGTATTGATGTGCTTCGCGTGTGCTCTCCCCTCCCGCTTCCTCTCCCCGCGCGTTGTGGTTCTCTCCTTTGCCCCCGCTTTTGGCCTCCTCCTCCTCTCCTCCCGCTCTTGGCCGCGTTGCCTTGGTGTGCGTGCATGGTGTGCCTGGTGCCGTGGTGCAGAGAGAACAAGAACCTGACGGGCACGGCTCGCTATGCCAGCATCAACACACATCTCGGCATCGGTATGTGCCTGCCGCCCCTCGCCCTTGCTCCGCTCGTCCCACTCCCCTGCTCCCCTCACCCCTCGCCCTTCTCCGCTCGCCCCTCGCCTCTTCTCTCTTGTGCTCGTCATCATCTTTCTCCCGAGATGTGCTTGTATGTTCATGTCACACACACACTGCGCTCTCATGCTCATGGAGCCTGTGCGCATGTATATGTTGTGGGCAGAGCAAAGCCGGAGGGACGACCTGGAGTCTTTGGGCTACGTGCTTATGTACTTTCTTCGAGGAAGGTGCGCTTCAGGCGGTTAGGTTGCCTGAGAAACCAGGGCCTTTTCTTCTGCCTCTAGTGACCCTCTAGGACCGTTGTAGTTTCCCGCTTTGGCCCTTGCGTTCCTTAGGGCCCTTTAATCCTCGAGCTAGTTTGCTGAGGCACGTAATTGTGTGTTGTGTTGTGCAGCTTGCCATGGCAGGGTCTGAAGGCGGGCACAAAGAAGCAGAAGTACGAGAAGATCAGCGAGAAGAAAATGTCCACGCCCATCGAGGTGTGTAG